CACACACACACACACACACACTCACACTCACACACACATACGCACACACACACAGACCGGAACAACAAAGAGACAGAAAAAACCCAACTAGTTTCACAACATTATTGACCTAACATGGTCGCTTTTAAGGACAAGCTGGCTAACCCAGATTTCGGGAGTTTCCTGAAATCTTGACCTACCTCAAAAGTGGGCATTGCTATACCTATAAGAATATGGTTTCATTGGTGTGTGTATTTGTTTGGTTTAGAGAAAACTCTCCTTGAATTTTAAAGAAACTGAACAAAGTGCAAAAACTTTATCTTCGATTTTCTCAAAACAGATTTTTTTCGGGATTGCCCCCTTGTACTTAAAAGCGACCACATTCATTAAAAAAGACAAGCTAAACTCCAGCCCCACCATACCCAACCACACCCCACCAATCTCTCATACCCCACCACACTCTATCTCTCCCACCACATTCACCATGTATCACACTACATCAGGCATTCACCAACCCTCCCCCCCACCCTGCTTCCAGCTTCATCACACCTACATCCACCCCACCACACCCCACCACACCCTAACCAACCACCCCAGACCATCATACCCACCAGCACCCCGGCACACCGCACCACACCTCACAATACCCCCATCAACCACCCCATCACACCCCACCACACCCTACCACACCCCATCACACCCACCACATCCCACCACGTCCCCCACCAACAACCGCACCACACCCACCACCACCCCATCAACCACCCCACCACACCCCACCACACCCTACCACACCTCACCACACCCCCACCAACTACCCCCCCTCACATCTCACCACGTCCCCCACCAACAACCTCACCACATCCACCACCACCCCGCCACACCCTACCACACCCTATCACACCTCACAACACCATCACCAACCACCCCACCACACCTCACCACACCCTACCACACCCTATCACACCTCACCCCACTCTCACCACCCACCCCACAACATCAATGAACTCCATGCATACAAAACGAAAGGTCCAATATTGAACGACGATAAAATGCCTAATGTCTGATGTTAATGAACGCTTGTGTGTTGATAAACTCTAGTGTGCTAATAAACTCTCGTGTGCTAATAAACAAGCACGCGGTTATATTTGTGTTATCAAGAACAACAAACCAATCTCTCTCTCTCTCTCTCTCTCTCTCTCTCTCTCTCTCTCTCTCTCTCTCTTTCTCGCTCTCTCTCTCTCTTTCTCTCTTTCTCTCTCTCTCTCTCTCGATCTCTCAGTCTTCCCCCTCTCTCTCTCCCTCTCTCTCTCTCTCTCTCTCTCTCTCTCTCTCTCTCTTTCTCTCTTCCACTCTCTTCTGTTTCCCTGTATCTCTGTCTTCTTCCCTCTTTCTTCCTTCCTCCTTTTGTTTCTCTCAGTTCCCCCTCTTTAACTCCTGTCTCCCCCTGTCTACCTTTGTCTCTCACTGTCTCTCTGCCCCTCCGATTCACCCTCTGCCCTAAACACCCGCCTCCCCAACACACACACACACACACACACACACACACACACACACACACACACGCACATACACACTCATACGAGCACACATACTTGCACATACATACACCGACTCACTAGCACATACACACACAAGCACACACACACA